AAAAAATAAATAAACAAAAAAATGAAAAAAATAGTTCAGAAGTAAGAGTGCAGATTCCCTGTAACATTTGTAACAAATGATTTTGGATATGATCCCAAACACTTGAGTAAACTTCACACTGTGGCATCAAAGTGTGAATATAAATGTATGCTCTGGGAGGGGTTTTAAGAGGAAGTGCATACTGTTTTTTGTTGTGCTTCCATTCAGATCAAACCAATTGACTATAGGCTGCTGACTAGCTGAGATTTCATGATTGGTACGCATTTGTAGTTACAGGCTTAGAGACTCAAATAAAACTCAATCATTGTACACACAGCAAATTCTACCTGCAGCTTGTCCATTGGGGATCTTTCCAAGTGCCATCTTCTGCTGTGCCTTTCTCTGTGCTGCAATATTCTAATAATCATGTTTTCCTTCCATTTATTAGGTTCCCGAGGCCCTGTGTGTTGACTACAGCAATTCTCAGTTCTGCTGTAAAGCAGAAAGTTAAACTTAAGGTACCCTATGGGACTGTAAAAGTATCAACAGTACTCCCGAGTGCAAGTTTAGCACACTCCAGCAAAAGATGGCTCACACTACTAATTGAAAGGCTGTGACCATCCCTTCCAATCACCCCCTCCAATGACTGATTATATATCTGACTTTGTGACCCCGAATACAGATCACCTATCGTCTCTAAACCCTCTGGGGCCTCCTTAATGCATGGCAAGAGTGACCACACTGTCACAATGAATTTCCAGCCTCCTCAGAGTCCTCATTATACGTGACAGTAAAATCTTCACTTTCCTTTTCAGTTCTCAACTTTCCACTTTCTGCTCATTTAAATTATGCTATATTCACAGCATTGTGAATGCCTGGCTAATCAGAAAAAAACTCCTTAGGTAAAGACGTGCACAAACCAAGAGCAAACAAAACTCCAAATCAGTACAATTAGTTCTTATAGAGGCTCATGGTGCTGCCCTTTTCTAAGTTGACCCCTCTGACACAGAGGCTTGAATTACTCAGAGTAGAAAGAGCGGTGCTAATGAAACATCAATGATTGCACTTTGTCAGGTTTAGTGAGTGAACGAAGGCTTCATCCCGAAGCGGAGGCAATGCACAACGAGGCAATGAGTTGTCTTTTTTATATGTTAATGAGGTCTTTTTTGCTGTGAAACCCTTTTATCGCTGAAGACAACTCGCTCTTGTTTCAATATAGTCTGCACCATTTGCAGTTTGCATCAGATTCCACACTCCTCGTCAGAGTCATAACTCTGTCAAATCACGACAGACAGACATGACACAAATATTTTTAGATTAAATGTAATTTGTGATTTTCGATTATCTCTCATGTCATGCATACCATGAATAATCCTCCACAGAATGTCAACTTGTACACCCACTGCTTCATTGCCAATAAGTTCAAGCTGACCTTATTTGACATAATTGTATTGTTATTAATTCATCAAAAAGCCAAGAAACTTGAAGCTCAAGTAGCCCATAGTTAAACAAACGTAATCGACACCATGAAGAATTAAGGTAGTTCTGAAGGTCCAACCCAGTAGAAATAGGTGTAACTAATGAAGTGGTTGGTGAGTGCATATATGGCATGCTTCACCCTTAAGGATTATAAGTATGGGGGGAAAAAAAACAAGTAAGAAATCAAAGTGTTCAGTACAAGTGACATGGCAGCCTATTTTTAAGGATTTCTTTGCTGATCGCCAATGTTGTATGTTTCCCTGCATTTTATGCATTATGTCTAATCTATGCCATGTGTACCATAGCGAAATACTACTACAAACATGTATGTCAGCACACACAAGAATAAGTGGTGCTCCTGGCGTTAAATTCAAAATGAGCATCATCATCATCAAGACAGAGGTAAGTCAAAAATATAAGGATTATCTCCTAAAAGTTTCATGATTTCTGAATTACAGCCTTCCCTGATACGGTTACAAACATATACTCATTAGCCAGTTTATTATAATGTCAAATATCTAATCAACCAATCACACAGCAGCAACTCAGTGTACTTAGGAACGTAGGCTTGGACAAGACAACCGGCTCAAGAACAGGGAAGAAAGGTCTTTTAAGTCACTTTGAACATTGCATGGTTTTTGGTAGCAGACGGGTATCTCAGAAACTGCTGATCGCTGGGGATTTCCCCACCCAATCATCTTTAAAGTCTGGAACTGTCTGAAAAAGAGAAAATATCCAGTAAAGTGGAAGCTTTCTATGCAAAAATGCCCTGGTGATGTCAGAGGTCATCCTCCTTTGAGTTGAAGGGAAGGCAACAGAAACCCAAATAAACTCTCATTACAACCAAGGTATGCAGAAGAGCATCTCTAAATGTACAACACACCCAATCTTGAAGCAGATGGGCTACGGCAACAGAAGAGCACCTTTGGGATGCGGTGGAATGAGAGATATACATCATGGATGTGCAGCCAGCAATTCTGGAGCTACATTGTAATGTTATCCTGTTAATATGGAGCGAACTGTCTGAGGAATATTTTCAGAATCTTGTTGAATCTATGCCACGACGAATGTAGTCAGTTCTCAAGGAAAAAAAATATGTAACTCTGAATAGCACGGTGTAAAGAAAAACGAGTAAGAAATCAAAGTGTTCGTTACAAGTGATAGGGCAGTCTGTTATTATGGATGTCTTTGTTGATTAGATGGACAGTGTTGTATATTTTTCTGCATTACATGCATATTAATTAATCCATGATGTGTGTACCAAAGTGAAACGCAGCCACCCACACATGTACATCAGCACACACCCACGCACACAGACAGGGAGCTATGTTCTGATCACTGCCAAGCCGAAGCATGCAACATGATAAGAACTTCCTTTTTTCACATGAACACAGATGCAATACATGTGTCGACAAGGAGGCGCACCAGATTCCAACATGGGAAAGACCCTACTGTACACAGAGTATGTGTTATGGCAGTTTCACAAACACACTCAAGACTTCAGTTACATGGTAATATTCATACATGGCTCTTTTGAACTTAGTGTGACCACAGTGAAGAAACAAGCCCGAATGACGTGAGCATGAATGACGATGGATGCAATGAGGCGTGGGTGCCATGTGGAGTTATGTGATGCGATGATGCCGTGTGAGTAAATGATCGACCAATCACTGACAACAATGCGGACATATAGAAATCAACGACAACAGAATACAGCTTTCAAAAACAGATAAGACACAACAAGAAGAAACGAGAAAGGGCAAAACAAAACCACAAGCTGCTTTCCGTGTGGGCCCCAGAGAGTCCTGCTTTGAAGTGGTTTGCTTCAGATACTGGCAACGAGGGGAGGGGGTGTTTTGCAGGGATGGAGGGGTTGACAAGTTAGCAAAGACCTTCTGCTGTGCACTTCGCTTGTACCTTTTGCTAATGGCCCCAAAGCACAAAACAATCACAAAACACAACAGCCCCAAACACCCTCTATCAAGTAAAGTTCAAGCCGGTGAACTTGATCAATTTTGCTCTTTGAATTGCCCCACCCCTCACCAGTTTTAAACCCATGAGAGTCACTCCTGTGAACCTTTAATCCCTTCCAATAGAATCACAGCATGTATTAAATAATAAAGGCTCTGAAGTGACTTTTATAACAAAAGATCCAGTACAAGATGCTGGGTTTCAGTAAGTCGGCAGGCTTTCTGAAGCCCATTTTTCTGCTTTGTCAAAACAGCAAATAAACCTTGTATAATATTCACAACTCTTCCTTCCTCTGCTTCTCAACTACACAGGCCTGAGAGGGATTTAGAGTGTGATTGTGTTGGTCTGCAGCCTTTTTCCACTTACTGTGTCCAGCACTGCAGGGGCTATGATTTGCTATCAATGGGCGTTTGCTTATCTGCTATTTTCTGCCAAGCTCAGACAATGCGGCAAAGCAATTCTGTGACACGTGCAGTCAACAACAAACAAACCATTTTGGGGCGGATGGCTTAATTGCTATTGATGCTCCTTGGCTAGATGAATATCATAATTTTCTTTCAAAGTCTGGTGGTAGAGTGCACTTGGGGAAAATATAACCAGGAGGCACTGTCAATTTTGCTTGAAAGGGGATAATACAGATAATGACAGATAATACCTTGTCAAAGCCTTTCATTATTTCTTTTGTTCCTACATGTCTAATTATATATCTTAGAGACTGCCTGTACAACATTAAGTATTGATTATTATGCGTCCTCAAAACTGCCTAGCCAAAATAGTCCTACAAAAGTACAGTCATTACAGCAGCTAATTATTAGTTGCTGTGTTTTTTCATATTTCCCAGGACAGTGGGAGTAAATTACCCCATCAAACTGACTTCAGAGCTTTCAAATTACATGGAAAACTTGATTTAAAATAAAGAGCCTATTTGTAATTTACCACCAGTACTAAGTAATTGCATGGGCTAATCTGTCAAAAAAAGATATCATCAGCATTATCATTCTGCTTTGCCTACTAAATCCAATGTAATATTTCCCCAGTTGTTCAGTTTTTGCAAGTACTTGACCATTGTCCAGAAAATGGGATGTTACTGATATAGATCATATTGCTGTGTTTCATTGTGTTTATCACAGTAGCCTGACAAACATGGCACTAACAGTCGCTGGAAATAACAAATCGTATCCAGTGTATCTTAAATTCACTCAGGAAACAAGTTCAATCTCAACCACAACAAGACCCAAAACCCAAGCTGTTGTGACAAGGGACATTTAAAACCATGGGGAGTGATTCGCTCTCTGTGGCTCGGTGTCTATTTAAGATAGATGAGATCATGAAGGGGATGGAATGCACCTTGTCCTGGAAGAACCTGAAGCAGTTACAACCACTTCAACTTAGATACCACTGCTGGGGCACTTGTGTTGACTAGTGTAGCTACGGCAGCACTGCTATAAAAAGGATGCATGATACGTGGCTGCAATCAAAGTTGAACAAATAAATAAACTTAAATTTAAAAAAATTGAAAAAAAGAAAAAAGAAACATTTGTGCAGATGTTACAAGGATGCAGTCATCTTACCTGGGAACACAGGCAGTGGAGGTCTCCCCCTCAGGAGCCTCTGGGGCTGGGCAGCAGAACTGGTGTAGTACTGTTGGGTTTCTGTGTGAAAAAAGAGTGGAAACAAAACAGAGGCAATCATATATTTTGTTTAAACTTTAGTTATTGTTTAAATGTAGAACAAAACACTATATATGACAGCAACTTTTTAATCATGGCTTAGCCAGCGTGGCTAGTGGCTAAATCATTATACACCATATATGTATAACACCATGAAAGTGTAGCAGAGTAATAAGGTTAGAGGATGAGGTTGGTGTACCTAGTTGCCAGTTGGGGTGTGAGCCCCACGTCCATCCTCTGTACTGTTCATGCTCTTAATGGGGTGAACTGTGTTATTTCCTTTACAAACATAGCTTGGTTAAAATGCATTAAAATGCATTATTTTTTATATGATTATAGTAATTGATATTGATATATAAAACACCCAGCACGCCCCTGCGGGCGGTTTATCCTTCAAGCTCGGGTCCTCTACCAGAGGCCTGGGAGCTTGAGGGTTCTGCGCAGTATCTTAGCTGTTCCCAGGACTGCGCTCTTCTGGACAGAGATCTCCGATGTTATTCCCGGGATCTGCT